CGAACACGCCCACACATTCACTCTCACACACACACACACACATATAAAGAAACAAACTCGATCCTACACATCGGATGATCACACATTCACACACGGAATATCTTAAACACGCAGATGCAACGACAACAATCACAATCTCCAAACACAAATCAACAATGTCAGAATGAGAACGACACTCGGCTCACGCATTCACGCTGCCACCCACTCACTCACACAATCACCCAATCACTCACTCACCAACTCATCCACAAACTCAATCACACACTCGCCATCGCACTCACTTTCACACGGTCATCAACATGCACAGACACTGGTGCAAACACACACCTACAAATCGGCCGAAACACATGTGTGTCCACGCCCACATACACACTCACATTCACCACTGTCTCTCATCCATGTGCATGCATGCACGCGTGCAATTATACATGCACGCACGCAAGTAAGTATGCATGCAATCAAATGCTAACCACTGCTTTCTGTCCTCTCTCCATCTCCCTCTATCTACAGGTCTGCAGTCATCACAGTCCACCATCACTCCGTCAGCCAGTGAAACCAGTCAGCCCACTCCGTCTCACCAGCCCACATCCACGCCACTCCTCCTCCACACCACAATCACACCGACAACACCCGGACTATCCGAGTCGCCCACAACTCCAACCACAACACTCAACACCGACATCATCGGAACCAACACCGCTGTCACCACCTTCACTGGTGAGTCAATCTCAGTTTCCTCTCATTCTCCACACACCCGTCTCCCCAGTGATCATCTTCCTCATACTCCTCGTAAGCCTCGCCTACTCACACTCTTGCGCACATTCAAGCTACTCCGTCCTCTCCTAAACCCCGTATGCTAATTCCAACACTGCGCCAATCCACATCACACCCTCCAGTCAACTCGGAATCTCACACACTCCTCCTGAACTCACAACACACAAACACACAGGAAACACTCACACTGCCACACGAACCACAACCAACACACTCTCACAAACGAAACCAACACACAGACACACACTCATGCACACGCATGCACACGCGGACTCATGCAGACACATCCAATCACACATCGACACTCCAACACTCACAATCTCTCTCCGACTCAGGCAAAAACACACCAACAACCACACGAACACGCCCACACATTCACTCTCACACACACACACATATAAAGAAACAAACTCGATCCTACACATCGGATGATCACACATTCACACACGGAATATCTTAAACACGCAGATGCAACGACAACAATCACAATCTCCAAACACAAATCAACAATGTCAGAATGAGAACGACACTCGGCTCACGCATTCACGCTGCCACCCACTCACTCACACAATCACCCAATCACTCACTCACCAACTCATCCACAAACTCAATCACACACTCGCCATCGCACTCACTTTCACACGGTCATCAACATGCACAGACACTGGTGCAAACACACACCTACAAATCGGCCGAAACACATGTGTGTCCACGCCCACATACACACTCACATTCACCACTGTCTCTCATCCATGTGCATGCATGCACGCGTGCAATTATACATGCACGCACGCAAGTAAGTATGCATGCAATCAAATGCTAACCACTGCTTTCTGTCCTCTCTCCATCTCCCTCTATCTACAGGTCTGCAGTCATCACAGTCCACCATCACTCCGTCAGCCAGTGAAACCAGTCAGCCCACTCCGTCTCACCAGCCCACATCCACGCCACTCCTCCTCCACACCACAATCACACCGACAACACCCGGACTATCCGAGTCGCCCACAACTCCAACCACAACACTCAACACCGACATCATCGGAACCAACACCACTGTCACCACCTTCACTGGTGAGTCAATCTCAGTTTCCTCTCATTCTCCACACACCCGTCTCCCCAGTGATCATCTTCCTCACACTCCTCGTAAGCCTCGCCTACTCACACTCTTGCGCACATTCAAGCTACTCCGTCCTCTCCTAAACCCCGTATGCTAATTCCAACACTGCGCCAATCCACATCACACCCTCCAGTCAACTCGGAATCTCACACACTCCTCCTGAACTCACAACACACAAACACACAGGAAACACTCACACTGCCACACGAACCACAACCAACACACTCTCACAAACGAAACCAACACACAGACACACACTCATGCACACGCATGCACACGCGGACTCATGCAGACACATCCAATCACACATCGACACTCCAACACTCACAATCTCTCTCCGACTCAGGCAAAAACACACCAACAACCACACGAACACGCCCACACATTCACTCTCACACACACACACATATAAAGAAACAAACTCGATCCTACACATCGGATGATCACACATTCACACACGGAATATCTTAAACACGCAGATGCAACGACAACAATCACAATCTCCAAACACAAATCAACAATGTCAGAATGAGAACGACACTCGGCTCACGCATTCACGCTGCCACCCACTCACTCACACAATCACCCAATCACTCACTCACCAACTCATCCACAAACTCAATCACACACTCGCCATCGCACTCACTTTCACACGGTCATCAACATGCACAGACACTGGTGCAAACACACACCTACAAATCGGCCGAAACACATGTGTGTCCACGCCCACATACACACTCACATTCACCACTGTCTCTCATCCATGTGCATGCATGCACGCGTGCAATTATACATGCACGCACGCAAGTAAGTATGCATGCAATCAAATGCTAACCACTGCTTTCTGTCCTCTCTCCATCTCCCTCTATCTACAGGTCTGCAGTCATCACAGTCCACCATCACTCCGTCAGCCAGTGAAACCAGTCAGCCCACTCCGTCTCACCAGCCCACATCCACGCCACTCCTCCTCCACACCACAATCACACCGACAACACCCGGACTATCCGAGTCGCCCACAACTCCAACCACAACACTCAACACCGACATCATCGGAACCAACACCACTGTCACCACCTTCACTGGTGAGTCAATCTCAGTTTCCTCTCATTCTCCACACACCCGTCTCCCCAGTGATCATCTTCCTCACACTCCTCGTAAGCCTCGCCTACTCACACTCTTGCGCACATTCAAGCTACTCCGTCCTCTCCTAAACCCCGTATGCTAATTCCAACACTGCGCCAATCCACATCACACCCTCCAGTCAACTCGGAATCTCACACACTCCTCCTGAACTCACAACACACAAACACACAGGAAACACTCACACTGCCACACAAACCACAACCAACACACTCTCACAAACGAAACCAACACACAGACACACACTCATGCACACGCATGCACACGCGGACTCATGCAGACACATCCAATCACACATCGACACTCCAACACTCACAATCTCTCTCCGACTCAGGCAAAAACACACCAACAACCACACGAACACGCCCACACATTCACTCTCTCACACACACACACAAACAAACAAACCCGATCCTACACATCGGATGATCACACATTCACACACGGAATATCTTAAACACGCAGATGCAACGACAACAATCACAATCTCCAAACACAAATCAACAACGTCAGAATGAGAACGACACTCGTCTCACGCATTCACGCTGCCGCCCACTGACTCACACAATCACCCAATCACTCACTCACCAACTCATCCACAAACTCAATCACACACTCGCCATCGCACTCACTTTCACACGGTCATCAACATGCACAGACACTGGTGCAAACACACACCTACAAATCGGCCGAAACACATGTGTGTCCACGCCCACATACACACTCACATTCACCACTGTCTCTCATCCATGTGCATGCATGCACGCGTGCAATTATACATGCACGCACGCAAGTAAGTATGCATGCAATCAAATGCTAACCACTGCTTTCTGTCCTCTCTCCATCTCCCTCTATCTACAGGTCTGCAGTCATCACAGTCCACCATCACTCCGTCAGCCAGTGAAACCAGTCAGCCCACTCCGTCTCACCAGCCCACATCCACGCCACTCCTCCTCCACACCACAATCACACCGACAACACCCGGACTATCCGAGTCGCCCACAACTCCAACCACAACACTCAACACCGACATCATCGGAACCAACACCACTGTCACCACCTTCACTGGTGAGTCAATCTCAGTTTCCTCTCATTCTCCACACACCCGTCTCCCCAGTGATCATCTTCCTCACACTCCTCGTAAGCCTCGCCTACTCACACTCTTGCGCACATTCAAGCTACTCCGTCCTCTCCTAAACCCCGTATGCTAATTCCAACACTGCGCCAATCCACATCACACCCTCCAGTCAACTCGGAATCTCACACACTCCTCCTGAACTCACAACACACAAACACACAGGAAACACTCACACTGCCACACAAACCACAACCAACACACTCTCACAAACGAAACCAACACACAGACACACACTCATGCACACGCATGCACACGCGGACTCATGCAGACACATCCAATCACACATCGACACTCCAACACTCACAATCTCTCTCCGACTCAGGCAAAAACACACCAACAACCACACGAACACGCCCACACATTCACTCTCACACACACACACACAAACAAACAAACCCGATCCTACACATCGGATGATCACACACTCACACACGGAATACCTTAAACACGCAGATGCAACGACAACAATCACCATCTCCAAACACAAATCAACAACGTCAGAATGAGAACGACACTTGTTGTCGATATTTTTCGATGTTTTGATTTCCAGTGTATGCCCAAGTTAATATTCTCTCATATCGGCTCACGTCGTTCAGAGAAAATGTACCACAATGCAGTTAAATCATCGTTCTAAAATAATGCAATCAATAAATTGAAAGGAATGACTCGTGATTGTCAATGATTTCGTTGTAGTAACAAAGCATCGATTGTCTGTGAACAGGCGTCTTTTCACACGAAACAATCAATTCACAAGGGATATCAGTAGTATATTGCTTTTCTTATTTTGGTTCCTGTGTCACAATCCTTTTGTTATCGTTTCTCGACTTTTAGAAATCGTGGTCTTCCGACTTGCAACTGTATTATACACGGACAGCGAGAGAACACCGTATGTTTGGCAGCCTGATTTATCCAACACATCATCAAATGCATACATAAATCTAGCTCAAACATTTTGCAACAAGGTCAGTTAATCGTTTACAGTTTTATGCATTGAATGCAATTCACAATGATTCAGAACATGCATTTAGTGGATGACTTCGGTTTTGAGTCAGTTAAAAATTTAATAATACTCATAGATAATTTATTTTCTGCACGTTAAATGAAGTGCAACGGGTGCGATAAATCATAATAGTCATAGGAATAATCATGTCCAGATTCTAACGAAGATTCGAATTTCTCATTAAACCTCTAGCCACCGACGAGTAGCTCTCAATGCAATATCATTCAGATAGTTCATGCGACAGGCTCTCTTCCTTGTATATCTGAATTATTCATGTTGAATACAGAGAACACCGAATGTGCTGTCAAAAGATCAGGCGAAGTAATACCTAATATGGGAATGTCTGCGATTACATTTAATCAGGGAATTCGTGATACAGATTGAGCTGATTGATGAAACATTCAAAGTTCAATATCCACTTGGTTAATGACTCCACTTGTCAGCCCACTACACTTCTTGGCTTTCTAGTCTTGCCCACTAATAAAGATGACTGTTCATATCCACATTTTAAGAGATAATCTTCGTTTGGTACTGCTGTTCTGTTTGACCTACTTCATTCAGTTGAGGATGCTTCATTGCCCTTGCAAACAACGTTTTCAGCGCCAACTTCAGAATTAGGTGAGATTGTATGATTTGCGAGAGATGAAGTCACTGATTTTCTGATTATTCTGACTTGAACCTTACGAGCAGCAGAATAAGGGCAGCATTGATGACAACTGATCCAAGTCAGGATCATCAGGAAATTGGTCACTTCATTCATGGCGAATTCGGAAATCTCATTTAATTTTGAATTTACGGCTGAATATGTCGTCCGAAAGGGGATGGTGGAAGCTCCGCGATTGAAACACCGGGCACATAGGATGCAGTAACACTGGATATGTCTACTTGATGTACACATTCTCTACATCAATCCAAGAACATACGCCCATTTTCTTTGATAACGAAAGAATTTCACAAGACGGTGAGTGGAGATATTGCATTACAGTCAACATTACGAGGCAACTACAATGCAAACCATTTGACTGAATTCATTCGAACTAGTCAGAAACCACCCCTTCTTGTCGTTCAAATGATGTGCGCCCACAAAATTCCACATCACTTTTCATGGCGTCCACAATAATTACCTTTGAAATAATGACCTCTGAATTCTGGATTCATTTCTTTAGATTTTGGCCATTTTCAATCTATGGAATCCAGTTGCTTCCAAAGGAGCCCGATGTTACAATGTTGTATTTATACCAGTTGATTTTGTTATTCTTGAGAAAAGACAGTTGAATGCAACTGGTACCGAGGGACAGAATGCGACTCAAGGTGTGCAGGGGAACGCAGATATCGATTTGATTTCAACGAATGAGACAAATTTGAATGAAACGCAGTTGGTTGAAATCATTTCCTCTGTCCAAAATCAGTCAAATGTAACTTCGGATACATATTTTTTCAATGTACAAGCAATTCGTAAGTCACAAATATTTCTGGTAGTAGATTAAATGCAATGAAGCAGGTCAGATTAGGCTCGTATACAACAATAGTAATAATAATAACTGCTTTGTTCTACAAAGTTCGTCGTCGCATAAGACAGAATTTGAAGCTTGTCCTATGCCATGGTACTTAACCCATGTGCAAGACCTTCAAGTAATATAAACGTGATAGATAATGCACCATTTGAAGCAATATTGTTCTATCCAGAGCAGGTTCCATTGCTCTTGCGTTTACTTCAAAACATTCATATCAGTAGGTTGAGACCATACAATTCATGAAGGCAGTTGGATGTCTAAAACATCATGAAGTGCAGTAAGTATGCTGCGATGTGATGGATAGGAAAATTTGGTAGCCTGGTGTTTTCAGCAGGCCACCGGAATGCGTATATATATACATGTATATATAAGTGTATGTCAGATCCCAAACTGCTGGGCTAAGTAGTCTTCTGACATATCAAAATCTGAACGTAGATAAAGTGAATGGCTTGCGTTATTTAATTATACCAATTTCGGGAATGCGTGTTGGTGAATGGCACGTGTCTAGTATATTCAACTTCGTGTTGGTTTTTCGCTGTATGACTTCTAGAAATCGGCCGTGATGGTTTCCCATGACAGTCTGGAAGTCATTTTCATGTCTGGCTTTATGAGAACAATTATCATCCTAACTGCGAATATTTAAAATAACGTGAATCAGCCTACTCGTGTTTGCCAGTGAACAGCACTTCACTGCATGGCCTTCTCCTATTTGTTTTACAAAGCATAGAAGCCCTGCTCTTCATCCAGATCACCGGAAATCATATCAAACCTATGATGATGCCTGAATGTAATTTCCACTAATGATCCTCAGCAACCATAAGGAATACAAGTACCTCTCTGACACCGAACTATACCCGCGAAACAATTCAAGCCATAATTTTGTTCTCAATAAAGTGGGCACGATTTTATCGGGCTGATTTAATGGATTGGTATGTCATGAAGTTTACTGATCCTGCAGTAGACTTACCTGGCTTGTGGAGTTTACTATCTTGAGTTTTGTATCAATTGCTATGACATGAGTGAATCAGTTTTCGATGAAATATGCATTCAGTTTTAGTGCGTACATCCGCTATAGTATAAGTGTTGAGCTCAGAGAATGTTTGAAAACTTTGCAGTTTACCAATTGTAGTCTTCTACTTAACAAATCTGCCCACTGAAAGCGAAATGTATTTCTGAAAGGGGAAATTCTGTCAAACACTGTCAACCTAGGCTGATATGCATTTCTGTGCAAGACAAATGACATAACTGTCAGGTCGAATAGGTGATTAACTCAAATTCTATTCAACAAGGTGTTATCAACGAAAAATGTCCACAGGATTTTGTACTAAACTACTCACACACGCGTCTCACTAGTTTTATGCGCCAGCCAATTATTCGATCAAAGAAAGTGTATACGTTCACAGAGAAGCGAAAGTACAGGAAAAGAAATTGGGATAGCTGTACTCTTTGTCATTTTTTTCCTGGGTTCGTCATCCAATACGCAATGTGGTGAAATCAGTAGATAATAAAGCCCAAAACACATTTTTCCTTACTACAACATGCCAATCCCAATTTTTTTCTTTCTTTTCTTCAAGGGACTTATGTCGCACCTACAGCGATGACGGTGTCATCAGCACCTTTGACACAGACGACAAGAGAATTGCAGGGAGCAACTGAAAGTTTTTTTAACTTCACATCAACAACCACGACTGATGGGCATTTTACTTCCCAAGTCTATACATCAGGTAAGTTTCTTTATTTGTGCTACTGTGCTCATTCAATCACTATATGTTTGAATGAAGTGTCAATAAAGTTGCAAGATATTTAGAATGAAGCGGTGTACTACTGATCTGACAGAAGTATCTAGTGATCACTGATCAAGTAGACACCACACAGTTCTCCGGATGGTATTCATCTCCACACAATTGTCAGCCTCGAGAAGAATACAATTTGCATGCTGGACAATATAATTTTCAATAAAGAAGGAGATCGATATAAACCAACAATTGGACTTCATCATATATTGATATCTTTTGTCATGGGATTCCAATCCTGCATTCAGTTTCTCTCCATCCAAGGAATTTTCACGTCTAGAAACCTGTTATCTCATCTACATGAGAGTGATTGCTTGTAAAACTGTTGTCCGCGATAAGTGGAAAGCTTTTCTAAAATGAATACACAATGTGGAAGATATAGACATTTCAGTCTAGAAAACCAACGTCAAAGTGCACTTGGAACAGAAAATTAAATGTGCATACAGACGTCATCAATGTTCGAATATCTAGCTATTTCAACCTAGTCAGAATGATACTATCAATGCATATTGTATTCGGGATGAGTGTTAGACAGTTGTGTTAACTTTCTTCTGAAAAACAGGTAATAAACGATGTCATCCGCTCCTTGATTCGACGTGCAGGTAACCTCTCGGATCGCTTCAACACGAGAATAGTAGGCAGTGTTTGACAACTGCACTATTTGCAATTATTAGTGTTCTCTGAGCTGGTTGGTTTAGTTGCGGAGCTTTCGTCGTCTTTCTGAACGACATCTTCAGCGTAGTATTTAGGATAAAGTGAAATGATTAAAATGATCGCATCATTTCCAATATTTCACCACAATCGCTCAGAACTACTATGATTGCGTCTGATTGTTAAGATAGTGGTGAAAATCCATGTGGCGAATCTGAATTCCTTTATCGTCGAAGTAATGGCGGGATGTAGACTGGTAAGAATGAGTTGACTTTGTGTTAAGTAAATTTCATTGAGTACACACTCAACCGATTGCGTATCACTTAAATGTAAGACGTGTGGACTCTGACGCTAGTGAAATTATGAGAGACATTTAGTCGAATCCTGCATTGTGAATCTAGCCGCAGATTTTTCAAATGCATGCGAATTGTTTCACTATCCATTGAACAGAATTAAATGTGTATATTCGAAATACAACTCGGATAAATTATAAGGTGAGCAGTGAGTAAAAGGCATATCAGGGTAAGCGCTTAGCACACAACATACACAAGTGCCACAAAACGACATAATGAGGAAAACTAATACAAAACACATGTATTCACACCAAAATTAGCATAAGGGATCACGAGAAATCGAAGTGAGGCGGAAGTCAGACAACGGAAGCATAAAGCCACGCATAGGAAAAATTCCATAAAAGACTTGAAGCGAATAAGTGAAAAGCTCTGGAATGGGACTGTAGAAGTAAAAAGCTGGGGAGAAATAGAATGCGGATAGAAAATAGTCCTAAATAGTGGAAACCTCACACAACCAATGAAATAAGAACACGGATAAAAATCAAAAGAGAATCCAAAATAATCAAAGAAAAATCCCGCTTAAACAGAAGCGAAGAAGCCAGCGAGTCATAATAATAGTGATATTAATTATAATAAATGCTTTTGTCGAAAAAGTTCTTCTGGCACAAATGTGGAATTTTCAGCGTGTAATGCAATATCGAATCTAATTCCCTCACTAATTGAAATAGGGTATTTATACTAATATTGTTGTTCAATAAGAAGTGAATTTGAAATTAAATCAAGTGAAAATATTAGCAGTGAGGGACTTCCCATTGTGAAACGTGTACTGCTTGCTACCAGCAATATAGGAATGCAATCACTTGATAATCCAGCACTTCGCGCGTAACGCAGCAGGCTTGTCTAACATAGAAGGCCTAGGTACAGAGTCGAAGGCAGATGTGCAATCTAGAAAGGCACACCGAAAACCTTTGGCACCTCTATCTACAATAGAGACAATGCTATGATATAAGACGACACTGGCATCTAATATACACCTATCATGTTCACAAGCAAATTTATTAGGATCGTTAAATGCCTTCAATGAAGGTTCAAGACTAAGTAAAAGTAGTCTTTCCACTGTTTTAAAAAATGGTGAAGTAATGGTAATGGTAATAGGTTTGAAGTTGACAGTTCGCCCACTTGATGATTTAGGCACAGGAACAATGTTAATGTCTTTCCAAGAAGTAGGCACAGTGTTAATTGGAAATGAACCATTAAAAAAGCAGTGAGAGGACAACATAAAACATCAGCACATTTATTGAGGATAATATCTAGTACATCATTTGCATCAAGGGACTGCGTAAGTTTCAGGGATATGAGACACTTGAAGACATCGTTTGAGTTAATATCGGAGAAGTGGTCATTGTTTGTATTTGTAGCATTTGAGAGCGTAACATCAGCTGATGGGCATATACAGGACTAACTAAAAGTACCAGCACCAACTGCAGAAGAATCATTATTTATTTCCTTACCCTTGTTGATTTCCTTAACCAACCTCCACATATTTGATGAGTTTTCGCATGATAATAACTTTGGCTATAGATGAAATTGAATCTCTGTATTTATAGTTTAATTTAAATGTTCAGTTTTTAAACACCAGGATTGTCATTCATTTTGTGCAACTATTCTTTTTCTCAGCGAAGCTTTCTGAGCTGAGCAGAGGAAAAGTGGTCGAGTCTTGTGAAGAGTGTCTCTTTTGAACAACAAACATCAAGATGGACTTTGAAACAAGGAGTTACGTGAACTACTGTGTCATATAGAACTTGTTCAGTACACAAGTTCCAATTTGTATCATTTTTCATGTTTCTGGATAACAAATACTGTCATGCGAGTAAAATCTATATTGTGTTTGCCTTCCAAGGCTCATGAAGGCCCTTTTTGCAGCTTTCCATATATTTTCGGCTATTTTTCTAGCTTCAGATAGGCCGAAGTCATTTGCAAACACTAGATCAAGGATATTTTTATTCGTGTTGGAATGTTGAAAATATCTTCATGACCGTAAGATGCAAGGAAAATGAAGTTACACCAACTGAAATCGCCAGTAACTACTAACAAGGAGTGTCCAAGGGAGGTCCTTCAAATGTATATGTAGTTGTATTCGGGTGAGTGTTTCTGTTAACATTTAACGGTGAGGCAGACAATCTCGTCACTAGGGAGTCTACAAATACATTATTTGAAGTACACAATTGAGAATTAACGAAGTTTGGAACGCCACCATCACATTTCCTTGTGGAGCCACGTCGAATTTGTCTGGATAATTTGAAATCATTTAGACAAACAAATTATCATCATATTGGCCATGCAACCAGGTTTCTTGAAGAGTTATAACACCAGCATTGAGAAATACATTCGAGAACACGAGAGATTGCAGACAGTTATTTTTTCCTGGCAAAGAACGATAGCATGCGTCCATAATCTGCCACACAGTTGTTTCAGGAATTCGAATGTTTCGGAGGCACGTTGTCGTCAGCAATGATGAAGGTCAACAGATACCTAACAAATCACTCCATCCGCAGGTTTACCCAACGTATAAGCTTCGACAATCAATAAAAAAATACATGAAAAAATTCAGAAGAAAACAAGTCTAAACATAGGAGACAAGCAAAATAAGAGGAAAAAAGAAATAATCAAAAGAAACCAGGAAAATAGGGAGGCAGAGAAACAGAAAAAACAAGATTAAACAGCACAAAAAGGAGCCATAAAAATACACATATTCCCATACAACAACTAAACTAAACTAAAACAGACAAAGACAGAGACACATGAACCCAGAGCAGCACGAAGTCGCTCAAATACAGAAAAAAGAATATTTAAACAAAACAAAAACTCCACAAAAACCATCGAAAACTTGTGAAAACGCATCGAACACAGGTGAATATACATCGAATATTTGCGATGCACAGTTCACAAAATATTTCAATCATATCTTCATCTCCCTCTATCTGCAGGTCTGCAGTCATCACCTCCCACCATCACCCCGTCGGCCAGTTACACCAGCCAGACAACTCCGTCTGGTCAGCCAACCTCTACGCCACACACTCTCAACACCACAATCACATCATCAACACCCGGACTATCCGAGTCGCCGACAACTCAAACCACCTCCGGGACCACCGCTACCAACACTGGGACCACGTCCACAGGTGAGTCTGCCTGTCACTCACACACACACACACACTCACCAACTCACTCACTCACTCACTCACTCACTTCCTCCCTTAATACCTCAGTCAGTCTCACTTCCCCCTACTCCACATCATCGAACGCCCACACACTATCCACACAAATCTCGCTCTCGTGAATCACCAAGCACACAGACACTCACACATAAACGCAGACTCACACACTCACTCCCACTCGACGACTGTCTTCAAAATGAGAGAAGCACATGTCCACAGCCACACAAACACGAACCTTCACAAGCACAAACACAAACACCCAAAAGCATACACTCACATTCACTCACACACCCCACTAGAAACACGAATTCATTATTCACATAAAAAATGAGACACAAAATTTCAAACTCGCATGTACTAAATCACTCCCGAAATCACACACACACTCACTCACTAAATCAATATTAGTCAATCACGGATAAAGTCAGGCGAACACATACATAAAATCGCCAGTTGACACGAAATAACACATACAATAACACGGATTACTCCTGCTCAAAATCACACACTCGAATCCATTAAAAAATGCAAAAAACACAAAAAAAACAGAGACAAATAAGTAAAGGAATACATCCAATTCCCAAAGAGAGACAGTCACTCGGCCCACACATTCACGCAGCCACCCACTCACTCACACAATCACCCAATCACTCACTCACCAACTCATCCACAAACTCAATCACACACTCGCCATCGCACTCACTTTCACACGGTCATCAACATGCACAGACACTGGTGCAAACACACACCTACAAATCGGCCGAAACAC